GACCTCTTTGGTTGCCTCCGCAGTTGCTCCGACCTTTCCTTGCAATGCTTCTCCTGTCTCTGACATCATGGCATTATTGGCTTTCTTAACAACTGAGACGTTAGACACTATCTCCAGCTATATTGCGGAGACAACATCCCCGATGGACACCAACGCACCTCCTTCTACCCCTTCTATTTCATACAAGTATGTGAACAATGAACAAGGTGTTGATCCCAAGTATGTGAACAATGAATGAGGTGTTGAACCCAAGTATGTGAACAATGAACGAGGTCCCTTGCAACAGTCTTTTCCTCCGCAACATTCAAATCCTTCCTTGCTCACATGCTTACAGTTACCCCCACACTTTGACTTTACAGATCCTACAAGCCCATAGGTTTTATCGTTTCTTATTGTTGCCAATTTTATTTCTGTAAATAGTGCCTTTTTTACAATGGAATATTTGTGGCCTTACGGGCAGTCGAGGAGAACTCCAGGTGTTGCTCTCCCAGTTGTCCTCAGTATATGTTGGGCTGCAAGAGCCCAAAATTCGAACTGCTCTCATTCGCCCCGTTTTGGGCTATGTGCTGTTACGTTCTTCTGATCCTTTACCTGGTAAATCATTTAATGAAAACGAGCTTCTTGTGCGTGTTGATAAACCGTATCAGCAAGTTTTTGTTCGTTTCCTGCTGCATTATACTGCAGCTCATATTTATTTACACTGATGGTTTACAGTTTGCTCTCTCTATCTTTCTCCCTCCCAAACTTTCTGAATCTCTGATATTGCATTTTTAATTTCTTCTCTACTGCCGCCCATCTTCTTGTTGGGTGATTTTAATGTTCACCGTCACCTGTGGGGAGGGTCCCACTGTGACTCTCATGGTGATCAATTAGAGACTTCTTGCTTTCATCCTCATGTTTTAAATACAGGTGCTCCTTCCCATTTTGACTCTCGCACTCAGTCTCCCTCCTGCATTGATCTTTCTATCTGATCCTCACCCATTGCACTTGATTTCACGTGGTCTGTTCTTCCAGATTTATATGATAGTGATCACTTTCCTATCTTTACTTCTATATATACCCGGCCATTTCGTAGCCCTCGTTGGCAATTTGCTCTAGCAGATTGGGACTTATACTTCTATCTTACCACTTGTTGCGAGGACCCCCTTTCGTTGTCTGTTGATGAACTGGAGCACCAATTTTCGACCTTAGTCTTAACTGCGGTGACTTGTTCTATCTCCCAAACCTCAGGTAGGCATTCTCAGATGTGTACCTTGGTGGTCTCCTACATGCGCCTGTGCAGTGTGTTTAAAACGTGCTGCGTGGGGCTGTTATTGATATAACCACACCGCGGAGTGTGTTGAATTTTAAGTGGGCAAGGGGAGTTGCTTACTGCGTCATCCACGATGCTAAATGCGCTCATTGGCGAGACTACGTGTCTGCCATTACCTCGTCTTTCCCTATATGCGCGATTTGGAAAAAGGTGCAGAAATTGTGTTGTAAGTACACTCTGGACCCAGCTCCCATCTTGCGGGTTGCTGGAGTTGATGTATCTCCTGAGGACTTCACCTCTGTCCCTCATTTCTTGCATCTAAACCTACCAAAGAGCAATTGCCTGTAGATTTCTCCTTCGATGGATTGGAGCCGTGTAACGTACCTTTTACTCTTCTAGAATTAGAGTCCACGCGGCACCGGGACCTGATGATATCCACGTCAGTATGCTACATCATCTCCATTCTATGGCCCTTCCTGTTCTTTTACATCTTTTCAATCTAATTTGGGAGCGAGGGGTTCTTCCTCAACACTGGAAATAGGCTATTGTACTACCGTTTCGCAAACCAGGCACCTCGAGGCTTGACACCTCTCACTATCGTCCCATTGCCCTGACCAGTGTGGTTTGCAAGGTGATGGAATGATTGGTGAATAGACATCAACGTGGTTCTTAGAGACACACAATAGCCTTTCTCCTCGCCAATATGGCTTTCACAAAGGCTGCTCTACTTTAGACCCCTTGCTCCACTTAGATACAGTGGACCCCCGCTTAACGATCACCTCCAAATGCGACCAATTATGTAAGTGTATTTATGTAAGTGCGTTTGTACGTGTATGTTTGGGGGTCTGAAATGGACTAATCTACTTCACAATATTCCTTATTGGAAAAAATTCGGTCAGTACTGGCACCTGAACATACTACTGGAATGAAAAAAGTTCGTTAACCGGGGGTCCACTGTACATACATGTATATTTGAAATGCCTTTGCTAGCAACCACTCTGTCCTAGCAGTCTTTTTTGATCTAGAGAAGGCATATGACACCACTTGGAGGTGTAACATTCTAGCCCAAGCCCACTTGTTAGGCTTCCACAGTAATCTACCAAACTTCATCACTGCTTTCTTGTCTGATAGACATTTAGGTGCCTGTCCAGTGCCTTCTCGAAGACAGCCAAGAGTCTATTGGTAATCCCCCTTATGTAAGCTGGGAGGCAATTGAACAGTCTTGGGCCCCGGACAATTGTTGTGTTGTCTCTCAGTGTACTTGTGGCGCCCCTGCTTTTCATTGGGGGAATGTTGCATCTCCTGCCGAGTCTTTTGCTTTAATAGGGAGTGATTTTCGTGTGCAGGTTTGGTACCAATCCCTCCAGGACCTTCCAAGTGTATATTATCATGTATCCCTCTAGCCTTCATTCGAGGGAATACAGATCAAGGACCTTCAACCGTTCCCAGTAGTTTAGGTGCCTTACTGTACTTGTGTGTGCCGTGAAAGTTCTTTGTACACTCTCCAGGTCTGCAATGTCGCCAGATTTCTATCAGTATCTTAAGCATTACAATCACTTTTTAACTTTTCCTGATAGTCTCATATTTCTGTAACCAAGAGTGTCTCCAAAATGTTTGAAATTCATCTCACATTAAAGAAATCTGTAATTTACCTATTGTTAGTGATTCAGTGCTAGGAAAGTCCCATTCATTCACGTGTTGAGCATTGCTCTCACACTTGAGGAGGTTCACCTTATGTTAGAATTCTTGATATAATTCAGGAAAAAGCTGTTGATGTAATGTGCCCATCACTGACCTCACTTTTGATGTTAAATCATTGGTCTCCTTTGCAGATTGCATTTCTGTTCTACTTCCTTCTCTCTTCTTCACAGTGCTTCAGTTGCATACCTCCATGGTTTAGCTATTTTATTGAATATCAGTACAGCTAGGTAGCAATTGCTGGAAAATCAAGCCTCTACCGCTCTCTACTGAATGACTCGTACAGGTTTTGTGCTTCACAAACTTATTACTGCACATACTGTTTCAGTTACAATCCCACAGTCATTTTATAAAATGAGCTGCCTCCATTTTTTTCATTAGTTTATTTGATTCAATTTTCATCTAGAAGTATCTGTAGAGAGATGTCTTGAATAATAGTTAAGATTTTTTTATCTTTGTTTTTCTATTTTAGCACCTGACAATTACTCATAAGCAGAATCAAGACGTTTTAGTTATTGTAATCTTTTTCACTACATTTTTGTTCCCCCACTCAATGCAGCAGCCGCATCCCACCAAGGCAGGTGGGATGCGGGTTACTAGCCCTCTTCCTCTCGGCATTTTAGTCATCTCCTAAGACACACATAGCTACATCTGTGTATTGTAAACATAGGTACAGTTAGAAGGCCTGTATTACCTAGTAAGTCACCAGTAAAGAAATAATTTAACCCTTTCAGGGTCCAAGGCCAAAATCTGAAGTGGTGCCCCAGTGTCCAAGAATTTAAAAAAAAAAAAATTGTTATTTTTTCTTATGAAATGGTAGAGAATCTTTTTGTGAATGTAATTAAACAAAAAGTACGAAATTTGATGGGAAATTGACGAAATTATGCTCTCGTGAATTTTGATATGTCAGCGATATTTACGAATCGGCGATTTTGCCGACTTTGACTCCCATTTTAGGCCAATTACATTATTCCAGTCGACCAAATTCTTAGCTATTTCACTAGGATTACTTCTATTCTATCGAATGAGCACAAGAAATCGCCAAGTCAACTGTTTCAACTACAAAATAAAGTGACCGGAAATTGTTAATTTGGCCAATTTAACACAAAGTTCAAAATATTCCAATTTCAAAATAGGATCCAGAATAAACAATGTAGGTATTCCTGGCACTAAACTAACATTTCCTCTGTTCATTAGTTACATTTTGAGGCTTTACAAATAAATTCCATTTTGATTTTTTATTCACATAATGAATTTTTATTCACACAAAAAATAGAAGATTTACTGTTATGCAATATTGTAATAATTGTATAAATATCATCACCACATTTATGAATGTATATTAGACCCACCAGCTGGCGTGTATTACACGTGTGAGGTCGTTTGTTTACTCTTGAACATCGGCAAAAATTTAACATTTCCGCCACTTTGAGCTCAGTTTCAAGCCATTTCCAGTGCTAAAACCAATCAAAATTATCTCTATTTCTGTAATATGTCTTCCATTCTATCAAATGAGACCAAGAAATCACAAATACAACTATAAAAAAACATACGAAAAAACACTGCAAAGTCGCTGTTTTAATCGAAAATCACGGTCTCAGTTTTTTTCCTCTCATTATACACAGTGTGCTGCAGGATTTGTTTTATGTGGTGCACACATACTACATAGATGTATTCTCTCATATCTAGGCCCAAATTTACCACTCACAGTTTATCAGAGTGAGCTGAGCTCATGACGTAGATCTACGGTTTGGACCCTGAACGTAAAGCCGTAGATCTACGGGACGGACCCTGAAAGGGTTAAGAGAGGTAAAGACAAAGGCAAACATCAAATGTAGCTTGTTGAGTACCCATATACGTATTGCCAACACTGATATTTACAGTGTTCAACAGAGCATCAGTGTAGGCAGATAGCATAATAGTATATTATTATAGAGCAAAAGTGAGTTCTCTCACTGCCAGTGGCAGCTCGTAGCTAAAATTAGTGGAGGTGCTGCTTCAGAAAATTTTTAGCCATTGTTTTAATATTTTGTAAAATGAAACAAGCATATGAAAAGAAAATTTATACATAAGCCTGATAAAATCATAAACAAAAAACTATGAATTAAATAAAATAGCTGGAAGCATGATAATCATCTAATTCTACATTTTATCATATTCAAGAATATGGTACATGGTTTTTAAGCACAACACATGTTGCCGAGTCAAAAAAAAAAAAAAGCTACCTTACACTTGCACAACAGGGTCAGCACTGTGTCAGCGACAGTGCTCTCTCTTCCTAGCATGCAGCATCCTATCTCGGACATATGATGTGCATGCACACAACAGCCAAACACAGAGTCGCTGGAACTGTGAAGCGCCCAGTTCCATACATGGATTTTTGTAATTTTTTCATGTACTAGGGGATGGCTACTGACATTAAGCTTAAGGTTTATTTAATGTGCAAGCATAAAGTAAATTAAAGAAAAAAAAGACTCATTATATTGAATGTTATCAATAATATTGATTGAAAATAGAGGGTGCTGCAGTTCCACAGTGCCTGTACATGAGCAGCCACTGCTCACTGCCATTGTCTCATAAATACGTATAAGAGGGAGAAGTATGCTTTATTATCCAGAGCTAGTGACTCCAGACCTGAGTAGGTGTAACGTCAATTTGTCTGAATTTATCTCCACATCCTGATTGGCTGATGTTTATAATTAGTAGATATTCACATTTTAGTTGTGGAGCCATAGCGATCATACGGTAATTACTGCAAGATTTCGGCTGACTATAGACGGAATGCAAGATGTGGGTGTGTGACCTACACTGAATAAATGTGACATGCTCGATGCGCACCTCACTGTGTAAGGCAAATTATATATTCATATCAAATTGCAGTATTATATGTTTGAGAAACTAACATTATTTCTAGCAGATGTCAAAAGTGAAAGTTACATGTTAAATATTACAACTAACTACCAGATTATTATTATAATCAAAAAGAAGCGCTAAGCCACAAGGACTAACTACCAGTGTCAAAATATTTGAAGTGTTTTTATATAAGAAATTTCACCTTACATTATTCATTTTGTTTGTTAAAATTTTCGTCAGTTCTTTTATATCCTGCTGAAGGTTTTCAATTTTCCCTTTAACATCATTTATTTCATCTAGAACTTTACCCTCGGATATCACTTTAATATCATCATGCTCAGCTTCATTTAACTCTTCCTCATTCTTGTTTCTCTGACATGCCAAACATTGTTTAAAACAGTTGCATTGGCTACGCAAGCGTTTCTTTGCATGTTTGGATATCCAAAATACATAAAACGTCTTCCTCAAAAATGGGTAGAGAAAGTCAGTATTCAGTGTCATTTCTACAATAAAAACAGACTGACTGTCCTTGTACTCTTTTCTTTGTGTTTGTAAACTCTTATCTAACATTGCAAAACAGACAACAATAGTTATTAAAACATATATTGCTGTGCCAACCCACTGATAAGAAATCACTTGAATTACTTTATACCAGACATTATTATAAGTATTTCTTCCTTTGATTGCTATTATGTGAATAATGTATATCAGTATTCCTATGACTAGTAGAGGAATAGTAATCTTCCAAAGAGTACGAAGGAGGTGGATGGCTTGGAAGAAGGAGGAGCTACAACAGCGTAAATTTCTTGTCATCAGTAAGACACTTCTTGTCATCAGGAAGACATACAACCATGATGTAACTACAGCAAATACTCCTGCCAACCACTGCCAGTCCTGATAAAATATTGTTATTATCAATACAGTATTACGATTAAATATGCAAGGAAAGGAAGGTTGATATTACTTAATGTAAAATTAAGAGTGTTATAATGCTGTATTATGATTTTATTTATTTATATATATATACACCTACCATCCGACTTATGACTGTTTTTTATGCCAAATTTCTGGGAAATAAACAAGTGTTTGTGTTGTACACAGTGTTTATCCTAAACCTTACAGTATAAAATACAGTATAACAGCATAAAAAGTAAAGTAAAACATGAAATACCAAAATAAAACAATAAAATAAAGTCATTACAAAAATGTTATGTTGATATTCAGTAGTAAAGTTCGACTTACGTCCATTTCGACTTATGACCGGTTTCTCGGAACCGAACTCGGTCGTAAGTCGGATGGTAGGTATGTGTGTATGTGTGTATATATATATATTATTATTTTTTTTTTTTTTTTTTTTTTTTCAACAAGTCGGCCGTCTCCCACCGAGGCATGGTGACCCAAAAAAGAAAGAAAATCCCCAAAAAGAAAATACTTTCATCATCATTCAACACTTTCACCACACTCGCACATTATCACTGTTTTTGCAGAGGTGCTCAGAATACAACAGTCTAGAAGCATACACATATAAAGATACACAACATATCCCTCCAAACTGCCAATATCCCAAACCCCTCCTTTAAAGTGCAGGCATTGTACTTCCCATTTCCAGGACTCAAGTCCGACTATATGAAAATAACCGGTTTCCCTGAATCCCTTCACTAAATATTACCCTGCTCACACTCCAACAGATCGTCAGGTCCCAAGTACCATTCGTCTCCATTCACTCCTATCTAACACACTCATGCACGCTTGCTGGAAATCCAAGCCCCTAGCCCACAAAACCTCCTTTACCCCCTCTTTCCAACCCTTTCGAGGACGACCCCTACCCCTCCTTCCTTCCCCTATAGATTTATATGCTTTCCATGTCATTCTACTTTGATCCATTCTCTCTAAATGACCAAACCACCTCAACAACCCCTCTTCTGCCCTCTGACTAATGCTTTTAAAAAACTCCACACCTTCTCCAAATTTCCACACTCTAAATTTTCTGCATAATATTTACAACCACACATTGCCCTTAGACAGACATCTCCACTGCCTCCAACCGTCTCTCGCTGCTGCATTTACCACCCAAGCTTCACATCCATATAAGAGTGTTGGTACTACTATCCCTTTCATACATTCCCTTCTTTCCCTCCATAGATAACGTTTTTTGACTCCACTTATCCCTCAACGCACCACTCCCCTTTTTTTCCCTCATAAATTCTATGATTAACCTCATCCTTCAAAATCCATCCGCCGACACGTCAACTCCCAAGTATCTAAAAAACATTCACTTCTTTCCATACTCCTCCTCAATTTGATATCCATTTTTCTTTATCTAAATCATTTGAAAACCCTCATCACTTACTCTTTTCTATGTTCACTTTCAACTTTCTTCCTTTACACACATTCTCAAACTCACCCCACTAACCCTTTTTGCAATTTTTCTTTAGAATCCCCCATAAGCACAGTATCATCAGCAAAAAGTAACTGTGTCAATTCCCATTTTGAATTTGATTCCCTAATTTAATCCCACCCCTCCCCCAAACACCCTATTCATTTACTTCTTTTACAACCCCATCTATAAATATATTAAACAACCATGGTGACATTACACATCCCTGTCTAAGACCTACTTTTACCGGGAAGTATTTCCCTCTTTTTCTACACACCCTAACCTGAGCCCACTATCCTCATAAAAGCTCTTTACAGCATTTAGAACTTACCACCTATTCCATATACTTGCAACATCTACACATTGCCCCTCTTTTCCACTCTATCATATGCCTTTTCTAAATCCATAAATGCAATAAAAACTTCCCTACCTTTTCTAAATACTTGTTCACAACTATATGCTTCAATGTAAACACTTGATCTACACATCCCCTACCCACTCTGAAGCCTCCCCGCTCATCCGCAATCCTAAAATTCTGTCTTACCTCTAATTCCCTTTTAATTTTAAACCCTACCGTATACTTTTCCTGGTATACTCAGTAAACTTATTCCTCTATAATTTTTACAATCTCTTTTTTCCCCTTTCCCTTTATATAAAGGGGCTATACATCTCTCTGCCAATCCCTAGGTACCCTTTCCCCCCTTTCATACATTTATTAAAAAAAAGTACCAACCACTCCAACACTATATCCCCCCTGCTTTTAACATTTCTGTCATGATCCCATCAGTTTCAGCTGCTTTACCCCCTTTCTTCTACGTAATGCCTCACGTACCTCCACCACACTTAAATTCTGCTCTTCTTCACTCCTAAAAGATGGTATACCTCCCTGGCCAGTGCATGAAATTAACCCCCTCCTTTCTTCCTCAACATTTTAAAAGTTCCTCAAAATATTCTCTCCATCTACCTAATACCTCCCTCTCCCCATCTACTAAATCCCCTACTCTGTTTTTAACTGACAAATCCATACTTTCCCTAGGCTTTTTTAAAACTTGTTTAAAACTCACTCCAAAATTTTTTCTTATTTTCATTAAAATTTCTTGACAGTGCCTCTCCCACTCTTTCATCTGCTCTCCTTTTGCACTCTCTCACCACTCTCTTCACCTTTCTTTTACTCTCCATATACTCTGCTCTTCTTATAACACTTCTGCTTTGTAAAAACCTCTCGTAAGCTACCTTTTTCTCTTTTATTCACACCCTTTACTTGATCATTCCACCAATCACTCCTCTTTCCTCCTGCCCCCACCCTCCTATAACCACAAACTTCTGCCCACATTCTAATACTGCATTTTTAAAACTATTCCAACCTCTTCAACCCCCCCACTACTCATCTTTGCACTAGCCCACCTTTCTGCCAATAGTCGCTTATATCTCGCCCAAACTTCCTCCTCCCTTAGTTTATACACTTTCACCTCCCTCTTACGTGTTGTTGCCACCTTCCTCTTTTCCCATCTACCTCTTACTCTCACTGTAGCTACAATTAAATAATGATCCGATATATCAGTTGCCCCTCTATAAACATGTACATCCTGGAGCCTACCCATCAACCTTTTATCCACCAATACATAATCTAACAAACTACTTTCATTACGTGCTATGTCATACCTTGTATATTTATTTATCTTCTTTTTCATAAAATATGTATTACTTATTACCAAATTTCTTTCTACACATAGCTCAATTAAAGGCTCCCCATTTACATTTACCCCTGGCATCCCAAATTTACCTACTACTCCCTCTATAACATTTACCCATTTTAGCATTGAAATCCCCAACCACCATTACTCTCACACTTGATTCAAAACTCCCCACGCATTCACTCAACATTTCCCAGAATCTCTCTCTCTCCTCTACACTTCTCTCTTCTCCAGGTGCTTTACACACTTACTATAACCCACTTTTCACATCCAATCTTTATTTTACTCCACATAATCCTTGAATTTATACATTTGTAGTCCCTCTTTTCCTGCCATAGCTTATCCTTCAACATTATTGCTACTCCTTCTTTAGCTCTAACTCTATTTGAAACCCCTGACCTAATCCCATTTTTTTCCTCTCCATTGAAACTCTCCCACCCCCTTCAGCTTTGTTTCACTTAAAGCCAGGACATCCAGTTTCTTCTCATTCATAATATATAATATATTATATAATATATTATATAATATCATAATATATAATATTCATATATATTATATATATATATATATACAGTGGACCCCCGCATAGCGAACGCCTTGCATAGCGAACAATCCGCATAGCGAACGCTTTGTTCGCTGAAATTTTGCCCCGCATAGTAGACAAAAACCGCTCAGCGAACTTCGTCCGAGACGCGTCCAATGTGGGCCCTCAGCCAGCCTCACATGTGCCGCCCGTCCCATTGTTTACCAGCTAGCCTCCGCGGTAACATTCAAGCATACACTCGGAATATTTCGTATTTTTACAGTGTTTTCGGTGCTGTTTCTGGAAAATAAGGGGACCATGGGCCCAAGAAAGCTTCTAGTGCCAACCCTGTGGTAAAAAAGGGTGAGAATTAGTATGGAAATTAAGAAAGATTTTGAAGGGTTTGGGGCTAACCCTGAAAGCCTATGCCAGTTGTGGAATCCATTGTGCCTACTTCAAAAATTAAGGAAATGTGTGCACAGTGGGTTGAACTGCAAACCTTTATGGATGAAAATCACCCTGACACAGCTGTTGCAAGCCGTGCTGGTGACTATTTCAATGACAATGTTATGGCCCATTTTAGGAAAGTCTTGAAGGAAAGGGAGGTACAGAGCTCTATGGACAGATTTGTTGTGCGACAGAGGTCCAGTGGACTCTCAAGCTGGCCCTAGTGGCATTAAAGAAGAAGGGAAGTAACCCCAGAAAGGACTTGCTACCTCAAGTCCTAATGGAAGGGGATTCCCCTTCTAAACAGTAAGAAGATAATGCTCTCCCCTCCTCCCACCCCATAAATAAACACCAGATCTTAAATAAAAGTAAGTGTCATGTAAGTGTGCATGCCTTTTTTTCAGTTTGTGTGTACTAAAATTAACATTTTTTTGTGGTAAAAAAATTTTTTTTTCATACTTTTGGGTGTTTTGCACGGTTTAAATTTTTTCCATTATTTCTTATGGGGAAAATTAATTCCATAGCGAACATTTCGCATAACGACCAGCCCCTTGCACGGATTAAGTTCGCTATGCGGGGGTCCACTGTATATATTATATTTTTAAAATATATATATATATATATATTATATAAAATATATATATATATAATATATATATATATATATATTATATATATTTTTTTATATATATATATATATATTTTATATATATAATATATATATAAATATATATATATTTATATATATATATATATATATATATATATATATATATATATATATATATATATGTCGTGCCGAATGGGCAGAATTTTGCGTCTTGGCTTAAATAGCAACGTTCATCTTGCCATA